AATTTATGTATAAATTGAAATTTTAGTTGTTGTTCTTAGCGAAATATTGTTCATTTTAGCTTTAGACCATTCCAAAAGCCAAGAAACCAAATGTTTCCTTCTAACTTTTTATTTATGGCCATTCCTAGCAAACTTACGATGGAATAAATTTTATTAAGTTATATACATATTAATGTATGCGTGTGTACAGTACATAGCCTACAGTACGTATGTATAATTTTCTACTCATATAAGACCCAAATACTTCACACAATTTGATAAAATTTAAATATTAATACAGTCTAACTTCTTATAACGGCCACTTCTAAATAGAAGCAATTTTTTTTAATATAAAAATGCATGTAAAATAATCCTCAAACAATGACCACCTCCGAAAAACGACCATTCTTTAAGTTCCCATAAGATCGTTGTTTGGAGGTTTGACTGTTTTTTTAAATTAATTTTGTAAATATTTCTTAGAAATTATTAAAACTCTTTTAAGTAAATAATTTAAAGCACTAATTTTAATAATTTATATTAATATTTCTGTGGTATGAGATGCTGTAAATGCGATTCTTAAGCAAATCGTTGACCGGTTAGGTAATTAGATAATATTTACTTATAAATATAAATGACAGCGAAATAATAGAAGAATAAACACAAATTATAAAATTTAAATGTTGTTATAATAGAATATTAAATTAAATTGTAATTTAAATATTCTAGTTTAATTGGGTGATGCACACGAAGTGCCAAAGTAACAAAAAATAATATAGCCCTACGGTATTGTATCACAGGTTTTTTTTTACTTTATATTTACAATTAATCGCTTGTTTTCTCTTGATATTTACCTGTTTTATATAAGAATTTCTAGCTTAACATGTTGAATTTGTTAGAATTAGATTACTCATATAATACCATTGAAAAATCCAATTTCAAATTTACAAGAGATCAAGAATTTATTCTAATTACTACCAGAACAATAGAATAATCCCTCGCATATTCTAAAATATATTTATTACTTAAATAGAAACAAGGACTTCCGACATAGGATTATAACTTAATAGATCTACTGATTTAGTTAAATTAAAATAGAATTTGTTCATAGAAATAGTTTCATGTTATTAGAAAAGACTAATTTTCTCAAGATTTTCAGTCGATAAACCTTATTGAAATTAGATTTAAGATTAGAATATTCTTAATTTTATACATTAATAACAATGTTCTAAATAAATGATTTATTAAAAGTTACAAATTAAAGAATGATTCGCTTGAAAATCAGAAATTTCTTATTCTTCAGGGACTGAGCAGTAAAGGCGTTAAACTCTTCGTGATGAAAGATATTCTAAACGGGATCCATTTAGGTTAGATTAATTGACAAAATTAACCTTTGCCGGTATTCCCTAGAAAATTAGAGTATTCCTCAACCAAGCATTTACGAAGACTTTACCTCATGAGGGATGTTTCATCCAAACAGTCATGAGAAATGAAACTGGGAATAAGAAGTATCTTATACCATTAATCTCATTGTCCGCTTGTAATAATTGTTTTATGCAGTTTTTAGATATGGTTTTCATTTTAAGATAATGATAATTATTCTTTATTAAGCTTTAACAAGGCATACAACAATATTTAAATATATTCTCGCATGTATGAACGTACTGTACCTTAATTTAAGAAATAGAACTACCTTTGAAATTACAATAAGGATGAAGTTTTCAATTAAAATTCCACTTAAATTAACGTAAATATTTTATGTACAGTACTTTGATTTTCCGATAAGTACTGTACATATGTAAAGATTATATAAATAAATAATAATGAAGATACAAAATATTGATTACATGTTTATTTGAAGTCAGANACAAAAACTATTGAAACTACTTTCATAATATTTTTACTCAATTTTTAATTGATTACAGTCCGACAATGGCCGAATGAATAATTAACACCTATGGTCGCTAGTTCGCACATGACCAGTTGGCTGGCCACGTGAAGTTTACGGGGATTTCTTTACGTGTCTAACATCCAAATAGAAAATCTTCTGAGGCTCTCCCTTGACCATGTCTTATTCCATCAATCCAATTTAATTTATTATTATTTTAGATCTAAAACATAATCAAATTAATATTTTAAAATAGCGTAATAATTAAATTAAAAAATTAGTAGGACTATATTATTCTATTTGTTATTGACTATAGATTATTCTATATTGTAATCTACAGTCTATAAATTTCTTATTCCATATAATATACGTTGATTAATTACAGCAACGATTACATAAGATGAAACATTGAACTGATTACACATCCTCATTAAGATAGGAAACTATAATTAATTAATCGATAAACAGCTAATGAAAATAAAATTTAAATTTCAAAGCATGCCTCAATATAATATCAACAATAAAATCTTCATTTTATATTTATGAGCAAGACAATCGACTTTTGTAAGACATATTCACTATTCCAGGCTATTTTCATCCACCTCCCTTTCCATTAGACTTTCTTCTCAAAATGATAAGTAGAAGAAATAGATAAAATACTGTAACTTCATCTGTTAAAGTATAAAATACTCCTACACATATATAAAATATTAATACATATTTCATTTTATATAATAATTTAATTATATAATAATAAGTCATATAATATTTATGAAAATATTTAATTTATCTGAGAAAAGTAAAAATATTGTTTTTCTCGAATGAAAAATATTTATACAATTTAAATAAATATTTATCTAAAGCTGCGAATAAACATTGACTTCTGTTTTCGTTTTAAATCAATTAACGAGAAAAGAATAATGTTTGTTTCTTTGTTTGGAATCCCGAATCCATTATGTTGACAATATAAATATTGTTATTCCTCTGACAGTCTAATTTTATTGTAAAAATTGCAATCACCATTATTACTGAAGATTACAGAGTCATCAACGCAATCCATCAAAACAATTCTCATATGGAATACATTTTTGTATCTAAACTAAAATGTTAATCTTTAGATGAAGAATTAATTTTTCAAAATCTCATCTGTTGTCTATACTAAATAAATATAGAAATAAAATTTATATTTGATGTAAAGATGAATGGTTCTCTGGTAAACTTCTTTCTTTTTATACAATCAAAAAATTTTACTTTCTAATGGCTGACATTTTAAAGTAAGATTTATTATTCTGGAATGGTTAACTGATGTCTGATAGAAATGTTTTTATAACTTATTTTTATAGTATACCATTCGAAAAACTTCGAATGGTATACTATAAAATTTATTTTATTGCTTCATCTGCACCGATTTAATTTCAATATGTTTGCTAAACACTAGTATTTATGTGCATTTAAATATCTACAGTGTTGCGTTTAACGTGTATTTTATAAGTAATTATGTTTCATGCATACACTTGTAGGCCTACTTTTTCGTTTCTTCGTTAAGCCGTCTACCAACATGGCTTAACAATGGGATCTTTGCGGGCTAATAACTCGAAAACTGTTGGTTATACATTTTGTGTTGAGGAATTCATTGGTAAAGTTTCGTATATAACTGTCTTAACTCATCTTGTACATAGTGTATTCAGAATAACCTGTGGCAAAAGGAATTCCTAAGCACGATAGTTAAAAGTAGGCTTTTCAGATGAAAAATTCTTTAAGGAGGAATTGAATTGGATTGATGGAATAAGACAACGCAACACATAGCGATCTGTCAAAGAGGAATGTCTTTTGGGAAGTCTGTTTTTTGTGAGAAATTGGTCCCTATTTATTTGTTAGACACAAAACCGGAAAACTGCACGAATATAATATAAACATATACACATACTGTATTAATATAGCGGAAATATATCAAGTAGGCGTTTAAATGCACATAAATACTAGTATTTCGAAAAGGGTATATTTAAAATACTTTAGAATATTTCAAATACCAATTGGCGTATCAAATACAGTCGACCCCCTATAACGCGGTAGATACGTTCCACTTTATAAGAATTTCACGTTGTAGGAATCCTTAAATACATGAGCCAATCACAGCCCGGCACGTGTGCAGTTTACGGACTACGGCTGTTTGAATGGTTTTCTTCCATAAAATTAATCGATTCTAGACTAATTTGACTCAACATTTCCAAAACACGTATAATTTTTTGGGAATAATCCGTATAAACTATGTGTGGCGGCCGAATAATTGTAACCTAGCGCTGCATCTGAAAATCCAGATGGAGCTATTAATACATGTGCAGTCCGTCCGCCATATTCTTTTTCTCTCCCTCGGCTACACTACTCACAAGTGTATGTTCTGTATCGACGCATGCTTGTAACCGATCGAACTTTACTCAATAAGTGTAAAACAAAATCTTATACGTGATTGTAAATAAATTTTCGTGGTGAGATATAAAGCTTCGGTTATTTTATAAATCAACGAACACTCAAGTTAAGTGGTGCATCAACCACCACACTATGCTATAAACAAAAAATTGTAGGAATATTTACCGAGTGTGCACCGTTCGACGACGCCATTGCTTAAGCTTGTTTTTGTCGCGGAGCAGCGCACCAAACGACGGTCTCGTTTTCTGACAAGTTATTTTTCTGCGAAAAATTCGTTGAACTTTGGAGACATCATTAATAGAAATAATTTTTATGGCCGTTGAATAAGAAATGTATAAAATTACGGTACTGTATTAGGCTTACAGTACCTAATTTATATACTGTATAGACAATATTTAACTCAACTTACCCGCCTAAACTCTCCGTACCTTGTAAGAAGTNTCTCAACCATGATAGCTGGAAGTGATTCCATTTTCCCACAGACTTGACGGAGATGATACATCTGAATGTGTCACTTTTGACTGTATCAGGAACATAACATCAAAAATTGTTATTGGTTTAACCAACCAACATTACCTAAAAAGGGCATTGAAATTAAAGGGGAGGACCCCCAAATAAAAGGAGAAAGATCTATGACAACAGTAGAGTTTGTCTATCATCAAGAGTTGGTTGTCATTGAGTTTTCACTCCAGATTTGGATACACCACCTATGCCCTTCTTAACTGTAGAACAAGAACAAGATACACCACCTATCTATCATCACTGCCGATTACCAGTGACCAGAATCCTACCCACCAAGAGACAATACCATTCTCCTACAGGACAAGTCTGCCTGCAAGTGAATGAATCTCCTCAACGAGCCTACAACTTCAGGTATTTAACAACTCATGATCACATGTAAACTCTCTCTCTCTTGGTAAAGAACCCACTAAATTAGACCAATTGACTTATAGAGTATAATTCTCCTATCCTATATATATGTAAATCTATAAATGGGTATTAATTTTGCTAAATGTGTATTGGAGTGCACTTTTTCAATCATACAGTCTCTCAGACCTTCTCCATCCTGAATCCAACTGCTTACACATGCAACCACTCTGCTTGAACAATAATTAGCGACCATAGTGGCTTCTGTGTCTGTTCATAAGACACAAAGGTGTCAGAATCCTGATGTAGCATCAACGAAGTGGTGCTGACCCTTTGGTCAAGTGGTGCAGAAGCATGGGGGTGCTTGCACATTGTCACACAATTTAAAAAAATTTTTTAAATGTGTGACATTGGGCACTTGTTGTTTTAAACCCTTACATAAGATAACCTTTGCAGGTATATAAATCATATACTATAATATAATACAATAGAAGAGTTAGAAGTACGAAATAAAATAATAAGTACAAAAAATAACAACAAACTTAATGTTTGTTGTTATTTTTTGCCACCAGGTAATGTCCAGGCAAAGCTGGGTTTACCTGCTAGTTTTAATTTCATTGTATAGTTGTAATTGGTTAAATATATAGCTTTAATATTGTATATATTATACAGTATAGTCAATGGTTTATTATCAAATATAAATTATACTATAATATAATAATTAGATATTATTTTATATATTTTTATGAACTTCATTTTCATTTAATTTAGAGAACTATTAGAAAACATCCTGCAGCCTAAAACTCAAAAGTTGTCAGCCACTGAACATGCTAGATTAGCAGAGTTATTAGTAGCAAAGGACAAAGAATTAAAAGTAGCATTTGGAATAGGTTAGTTTTATTTAGCTACTTAATTTATTTAAACATTAAATTTATCAATTAAAAATGAAAAAGTAAGTAAGTAACTGATATTTATGTCAAAATGAGATTGTTTTTTATAATTATAGAATAAAATTCCTATTTTTGTATTATTATATATATGTAAGCATTTAATTCTACATATAAAAATGTTCTTTAAAGCTAGAACTAATATATAATTCATTACCAAACTAACCTTTTTTATGTTTTCAGCAACACCATTGATGTAAATGAAAAGAAAATGTTTTCAGCCTCCTTCAGCGGCCACTGTCAGGCTTCAATAGAAGATATTTTTATTTTTTTTTTTTGTATTCCTTTTTAGCTGAAGAAAGACAAAAATTTTCTATAGAAGCCTGATGAGGCTAAAAATGTTTGCTTTTCATTTATATTGACAGCATTGCTGGAAATGTATGAAAAGTCAGTGTGGTCATCAATTATTTAATTCTACAATCTATAACAGGGATGGCCAACACGTAGACCATGGTCAACTGGTCAACTGCAAAGGTTTTGAAAATAGCCCGCGAATCTAAAGTTGAACAATTTGCTTTCACTTAAATTAATGTTTAAAAATCTTAATTCGATAATTTATTCTTACAATAATAGACTGTCTGTGCAACATACCCATATTGTTTGTATTTATCCCGATGAACAATGCAAATGAATGTTAACGCATGCACATATAAAAATCCTAAAATTGTTTGCCCATATTCATAGTTGCCCGCAGACTATATTTTACCAAAAAAGTAGCCCCTAANAAGTTATTTTTCTGCGAAAAATTCGTTGAACTTTGGAGACATCATTAATAGAAATAATTTTTATGGCCGTTGAATAAGAAATGTATAAAATTACGGTACTGTATTAGGCTTACAGTACCTAATTTATATACTGTATAGACGATATTTAACTCAACTTACCCGCCTAAACTCTCCGTACCTTGTAAGAAGTTCGGCTGCTTGTCCAGATTCGACCAATCCTGTCGCGACACGAGTCGGCGATGACGTTTTACCGCATTTTACGAGTCTCTTTTAGCGTCTTTATACGAATACGGTTGCAATTTTTTCGCCGCAATACACGAATCCGCATTATATGAACCCGCGTTATAGGGGGGTTGACTGTACTGATATTGAGTATTTGATTGATTGATGTTTTGATGGAATAAACCCTTTAAAAGAACGGCTATGTGGTGCTTTTATATCACGTAACCTATATTCCAAGAAGAGATGCCTCAGGAAGACTTTCTATGGGAAACTGGACTCTATTTTGATGTTAGACACGTGAAGAAAACCCATAAAACACCATATAAACATGGGCGTAGTGAGGAGGGTCTGGGTGGGCACGCCTCCCAGTTAACCTGGTGCCCACCCCAGAAAATCACAGCCGAAAAGTGTTGAGCCTATTTTCAAAAGGAAACAAAATATTGAAGCTGAAAATTCTCAATCCTAAAAAAAAAGAAAAGGTCAACGGCTCTCTGTGCCCAATGTTATGATTAAAAGAAGTTTCATGTTTTATGTGTGTTAAGTTATTGTCGCTTCTTATGGAATTTTCATTTTAATGAATAGTAATTTGAAATAATTCAATTTTGTGTCAGGTTGGCCTCTACTAGGCCCCCATAACAAAACTCCGGCTACGCCCATGTCCATATAGCCAGCAGTTGTCCAGCATTTGATCTGTGACTGGCCATTGATGGGCGTTGAGTGTTTGAAATATCTTGAACCAAAAACATTTCAAATAAATAATTCTCTCAAATATTTAATTAATTAAATATACGATATTATCAAATATCGTAAGCCGCCTCTACCTACTCAAACCACGTTCTTGAAGCTTTGCTAGACGATGGTTAATGTTTTTTGTTGATTCCGTAATTATTTTTCTATATATTATATTTTAATGAATAGAATTTTAATTAAATATGAAACCAAATCCGATATAATTATGTTAATAATTAATACATCTTGTTTCTTATCGGGTTATAATATGGCTAGTTAATTATTAAATTACTAAATAATTTGGCTAAAGGCATGAGATTGCACTGCCATCTCGTGTTAAATTTAATTGTTAGAATATTCTAAAGGAAAAGATCGATTCGGAGCTTGAACTTGAACCAGCAACTCCTGCTTACTGCGCAGATTTACTGGATAGCATTACCAGCTACTCTATCCAGATAAATCTTTTCTTTCAGAATATTCAAATTAATTCATTTATTTTTAATAATTAAATTTAACACGAGATGGCGGTTAATTCGCCATCTCTAGGCCAAATCGCTTAGTATCTTAATAATTAATAAGTCATATTTTAGCCCAATTAGAATCCTGCTGTATCGTTTGAATAAAATTTTATTTTTACTTAAATGTAAACTGGTTTCAGCAAGCAATTGCTTCGATAAATCCAAACGAATAAATTATACATTATTATTAAAAAGTAAACACGCCAGAAGCTAACGCTACAATGGCCGGATGGCCGAGCGGTCAATGTGGCAGCCTATAGCACGGGGGGACCCGGAATCGAATCCGGACGGGTCGAAAAATTCCCAGGAACTTTTCGGGGGATGGTCCAACCAGATATGTCGGGCATCGACTCTCACCACCCGGCCGGCCATTGTGGACCTGGCTAAACCGATAATGGGCTTGCTAAAAGAGGTCCTCTTAGTGTCCATATGGCGGAGTTTAAAAAAATCAAAAAAACTGCTTTTGATTTTTATTCATGTTTCCCTTTGGAATTTAGCCAAACATTTCTGAAACATCCGGTATATTTGACAAATCCTCATATCTTCAAGCGAAGATCTGTAAACGATTTCACTTCCATTTATAAAACCAGCCTCGACGATTGCGCCTCTAGTGATAAGAAAACAAATTACGGAAAGATGGAGTCGAGAAGTTGTCATGTCGGGAAGACAAATGTAAACGGATAAATGTGAATAAAGTCTTAGGAAATAAAGGTGATATATCTTGCAAAGGATGGCGCACCGTCAAGAGGAGCCGATACTAATTAGTACTAGACAACGATTATTGCAATTAGTGGATGATATCGAAGTAGTTACCAAGTACGTGAATACTTTGTTTACAGTTAATAATGTTGATATTTATGCAATTTTTTAAAAAAATTATTTTTAAGTATGGCAACACTTTCAGTTTATGCATATATAATTTACATTGATTCTTGCTTTTATTTTCTTTTTTATTAAACCGTAATGTAATCCAATCATGTCTATAGACAAAGCCATATTTTTATTGTCTTAAATACAGACAAACATCATCATTCTCCTCCATCCTCCTCCTCCTCTTCATCATCATTCTTCTGTTTACTTTTTTTTTTTTAGAGTTCAAGTGTTTCATTTACATCATATCAGTTGGGTCTATGCTTGTTTAGCATTTATATTTGTATCATTTCATTATTGAATTCAATGCAGTTATCCTGAAAAGCAGTTTAATAATCTGTGTTCCGGTTTATAAAGTAATAATGCTATGCACTCTTGCTAACATGCACTAATTATTGCTCAAAATTGTTTGGATTAGTGGGATTATGTATAAAGAGTGAGTAGTTGAGTAGGATGGAAGACAAATATTATGAATATTTGTCTTCTGTCATATTTGATACTGCTGTCCTGAATACATTTCTATTAAAATGTGTAGTACGTATTAATTTTAGAAATTATTCATGTTTTAATATATTTTAAAACATGAATAATTTCTAATTTGAATTAAGAAGAGTGCAATGTAATATTTTCCAAAAGATTATTCTCTCTATTATAAGTTATAATCTCTTTTAGCAAATAACATTATTATTTTATAAATGAGATCAAAAACAAATGATAAATACATAGTGTTAAATATTAATATAAAATTTATTAAATTTCGTTTTTAATTTGTCCCAGTTGGGAAATATGCCAGCAAAACAAAACAAACCTTAGGGCTTTTTATTTTCAAAGAAATTTTAATTTTAATTCAGTTTGGTTCTGTTGTTGTTTCTATGAAACAGTTCCATTAATTTGAATAAGCTTGACCACTATAGCATCTAATAGTACAAAAGAATTTAATGACTTTTTTAAAATAATATATGGTTTTAGAAACATAATATATAAAATTTTACTTTTATTTTTTATGAAAAATTAAATATTTTGTTAATATTTATGAAATGGTTTTATCATTGTTTAGAGTAATAAAGATATTGTAAGAATTAAAAGTTATGATGATATAAATAACAATTATCAATATTTAATAAGTTGGTTATCTTGATTCAGATATTAAAATTTTAAATATTTAATAAATAAAATTTAATAATTTTATATTTATGCTTAGAAAAATTATGTTAGAAACATAATTATTTGTAATGTATATTCTNGATGATCCAGCAAAAATCCAGCTGGATTAAAAACACTGCTGGATTGTAATCCCTAATTTTCAGTTATTTTCAATGATTTACTTTAGGTATTTGGAAGAAAGTCATTAAAAATGACCAAAAACATTAGTAATTAATACATTTTTACTACTAATGAAGGTTATTTTATCTTTATTATCTTATATAGCAGTATCTTTTTGTTGTCACAGATACAATCTTTGCACCAAGTTGATTAATTTGCACTTAACAAATTCCTTATTCAACTGTAACTAATGTGATTATTATGTGGAAACATTTCAGAACAGCAGCAGCTCAGCCTCAAAAATCTGATCAAGAACTATTAAGCACTAAAGGGATAGGACAAATAAAATGTTTCTCTTTAATTGAAAAAATTTCTGCAAAGTCTCAAACTGCCCCCTCTGTCAATGTCAACACAAAAACTGTTTGTCAAGAAACCCATGAGTTTCCATAACTATACAATTGCCTCAAATCATTGCAAGAAGAAATATTTTTTCTCTTCTATCTTTTTCATTAATTTCCATTTTATTTTACCTGATATATTGGGAAAAGTACTAAAACTAACAAATTATTTGATTAAATTTTAATAGAATATTAGAAAAACTATAAGGCATAAGTAAACACAATTAAACAAATTATTATTTGCTGCTAAATAGTATTAAATATCAATGATAGCATTTTATTTTTTAATAATTAACAGCTGCTGTTCAAGCAGAAATTCAAGAAAAAATGAATGCATTGCAATTAGAAGTTGAAAAACAAGATCAAGATATACAACAACTTCAAAAACATTTAAAAGAAGCTGAATATATGTTGGTATGTATTACAAATCTTATAAAAAAATTACTAGCATTTTCAACAATATTTCTTGGAGTAAATATCTATATTCTGTTTTAGTCAGATGAGATTTTACAGTCTTGAGAAAATTATTCCTTTGCTGTGGTAATTCTGTAATATGCTTTCTATGACAGTAATTCAGTGTATTTTTGTTTTTAAGGATTCTGACTTTTTTTTATATTTTTAGGTAGTTGCACTTTATCAAGCTAGACAAAAGATTGAAGCCATTGAAAAAGCAAAGGAAAGAAGCGTATCATCAGAGGAATTAATTAAATATGCTCATCGGATTAGTGCATCTAATGCTGTTGCAGCTCCACATAATTGGCAACAGGGTATGTATTTCTCCTTTCTTGAGCACAATTGTAATTAATCTATAGTCATATTTAAAAATTTTTTAAATCAGTTTAAAAAATATATAATGTCACAATATATACAATTAAATCTTGACAATTTTTACTAATTATGAAAAAAGTTTATTCAAAACACTATAAACATTAATTATAGAATGAGAATTATAAAACCATGACATACAAAAAGACTTTATCCCAACATATTACACTATATTATTTGTTTTATAAAATAGTCAAATTTACATCAATTTCAAATAGCATAGACGATAGAGAATAGTCTTGTTTGACATGTTTATTTGTGATTCTATATTCAGAGTTTAGTTTTATTTTATTTTTTATACTTACTTTAATTTTGACATTGATGTATTTGCTTTGTATTGCACTAATTAATTACTGAGGCATTCATAACTTAAATCAAGTTATATGATCCAAGTTACAGACCATAATGGCTTGGCTGTAATCATCATATGTTGTGGTTTAGTTAGGTATAGATAGTAACTTATAGCTATAAAATCTGAACAGATATGCATCTGTTTTGGGATGATGCACTTATATATTCATTAATTTTCAATATAGCACATTACATATATCAAACTCACAAAATAACCTTCATAAGTAATAAAAATATTTTAATCACTAACATTTTCAGTAGGGATTGCAATTACTGGATCCTTCATCCAGCAATTCAGCTGGGTCCAGCGCATTCTTTGACCTGTTGGATCCAGCACTGCGGATCCACAAATACTCAATTAACTTTCTAAATAATGGGGCAAAAGTCTATGTTGTTGGCATTGCCACTTTGCTACATGCACTATTGCTTGGCAGTGAGAGCGACGTTGCTGTTCAGTGCGGCACATGTTATACCCCTCTCTACACTGCACCGCCTGCCCTTTTATCTCTGCTGATCTAATTGCCAGTTAACTTTCTGCTCTCGCTAAATAAAGTGTCTTTGCACTAAATAAAATAAGTAAATCCTCTCCTAGTCCTGGTGCATAATTCTAATTTACGGTCCGTTGTGACATCAATGAATTACATGATGGAACAATTGCAGTTTAAGCCTGTGGGGAGCTGCAGCCTCATGGCTTGTCCATGAAAGCTAACCTATCCCTCCGGGAGATGACTGTCACTAGCTAATAGAAAACCTTTTATTTCAGCTCAATTGATATTTTACCGGAGACAAAAAATAAGAAAGTTTTCATACTTTTTTCTGGTGATTGCACAATGATAGTCACGTCGCTCTCTCCGCTAAGCCTATCGCATGTTTAACAGGCAGTCTGTCAGATATTGTTGCCTTCAAGCTCGCTATCGCTCACGGTCGGCTAATACTATGCCTTTAAGGAATGGGAAGCTCATCAAAATATAAACACCATTGTTGTCACTGACAGATCGAAAACCACCAACACTATGACTGCGGCTTTCGTTGACTCAAAAAACAACATCATGGCCCACTTCTCTCTCCACCCTGAGGTTTACACTTGACAACAGAATACGACTTTTAAAAAATCACCAACCAAAGATGATATGTTTTTGCAAAAATATGTAAAAGAAGCAAAGGACAAAGAATTGAGTTTGATTCTTGACTGCCGCACTAGGTGGAAGTCTCCTCACCATGCTGGAACATTTCTACAATGTAAAAGTATGCATTGATAAAGCTTTAATAGACACTGGCTCAGACACTAAATTCTCCACTGACGAGTGGTCACTGATCAATGAGTTGATCACTAGTCTTCAATCAGCTAACTACTAGACTACTACTAATTACTTACTCACTACTTTACTAACATTAATAATTAAATTACTTATAAATAACTACAGACTGATATGTAGAGCCTATATAAAAAAACTGATAAGACTGATAGCCACTTAGCCACTGATTATCTGTCCTTATGTTGTTATAATATATATTAATATAAATTAATTAGTAGAATTACCTTTGCTCTTATTTAACTTAACGATTACATTATAATTATAATCTAACTAAACATTTAAAGTTAATTATCTCTATCTCAAATGTTAAACCAAACCAAAGTTAAGTTTACTACCTAAATGTGTAAGAAGTTTTACTGATTTATAGTGACCAGTCTAAATAATAAAAATTTCTTAAGTATTTAAAAAAATATGTTTTATTNATAGGAACCCGTGTCATGGGGGGTCGACTGTACCTCCAATCTTTACCCTGTTCAACACTACAGTGTCGCACACTCTTCCACTGTGACTAATTTATTACATACATAATACAAAATAATTAAAAACTTCAAAAATAAACAATCTACTTATGTATAGTAAAATGTCAAAAATATTGATTTGGCCATCAAAAAATGGATATTTCACTCTTTCAATAGTAATTTAGTTATTGTTTTTTTAGCCTGTGTTCTCTTGGCCTAGCACTGTTGATATTCTAACATTCATTTTTTTGAATGTATATTTGAAAATCCAGATGGAGTCTAGCCTGATGAGTTCAGAGTTTTGACACTTCACTAATAGATTCAAATATTAAAATAACTTTGTTACCAGCTATCATACTTTATGAATTGAGTAATGAGTTTAATGTCTATAGTCTACATCAAAAGGCTCAATACTTACTTCCTGTTTCACAACTATCAGATTACCTTAGGAGATAACAATCCTCAGTAATCTATTCTACATAGTACAGTATAATATTCATTCAATTCAAAAATCTTACTATATGCTGACAATATCAAACTTATCAATACTGATCCAACCATTTTAAAAGAAGAAATAATTATTTTAGCTAACAGACTAGAAAAATTAAATCTTAAAATCAATACAGTATTTCCAAATATTACATAATGTGTTGTTTATTATTATACTCTTCATTCAGTTTTTCTATTTATCATTAATGGCCAAATAATACCCTACAGTGACATGATTAACAATTTGGGAATAATTATTGGGAGGAATATATATAGAGGAGTTATGTGGAGATACTGCAATTTGTTTCTTCTCTTCAAGTACTACATTTATTACATTTTGCTAATTTTCAATCCTTTATAGATTACTGTATTTCCATATGGGCATATACACATCAAACGCAACTTAATAATAGCAGAAATATCCAAAACTCTCATACTTTGGAATAAATTAAGTAACCTACCTTATAGAACATCTGAAGTATAGACTAGATTTACCCAATTTTAATAAAATAATCAAATGTTTTAATCAACTCCTATATTATAAATATTATAATAGTTTAATTCCCTCCAATTTTATTACTTAGAATATCAATTGCTTATATCTGAAATGTATTCTGCATACATCAATCATATTATAGATTTAATCTGTCACAGCATTTCTACAGAATCACTACCTCCATCTACCCAATTGAGGAGTATCTTCACTTATGCATAACCTAAGTGAAGATATTCCTTGCAACAAAGCAATTTGTGAAAGAATTTTATATAACTGATTATCTACTTTTATATTTTTAAAATTTCATTACATTTATTGTTGAGTTTGTATTTTTTATGTATTACTTTTATCTAAGTTTTTGTTATTTTAAAATAACTGGGTACTTTTATATTTTTGTTTTTATGTCATATTTGTATTCTCTCTCTTTCTCTCTCTCTCTCTCCCTCTTTTTTCTTTTAATTAGGCTTGTTATATCATTGTTCTTACAGAAGATTGCAATCATTGCTTCATGGAAATTGTAATATGGCAATAAATAATATTATAACTCTACATCTATATATGTAAATGAGAATGTTTGTTTGCTATACACTCTTAGGCTATTTAAACAATTGCTACGAAACTCGACAATTATATTTTACGTACTTCTTAGATAATGTCGTACATCCCACCCCAAAATATCTATTGGATGTAAATCAATTAATTTCTATCTACATTCGATTTGCTTATTTCCACATAGCACCATCTATTGGCAAAAAATTTAACAAAATAATAAACTAAATATAATTATTATAAAAAAAGGATATATTTTAAAATATGTATATTATTCACTTAATTATTACAACAATGATATAGCGAGAAACATATGTGCAATATCATTACTGCAACAGGTAGCACATAGAACTTGCCTGCTTGGAATCAGAAGTATACCCTGTGAAAAGTCTATAAGTATTTAATTTTTCACATCTAATGACTCGGGTTTTTTCATTTCCAAACAGTACTTTCTTAATTCTAATAAAGTATTTGGTAGTTTTATGCACTTGGCTACTGGAGGTGCCTTCCAGTAGCCAAGTGCATAAAACCACTGAACTAGTAGTTAGCAGTTAGTCATGGGTTCGGATATGGCCAACAGCCTGGTCACATGCAGCTTTCCAGGTTTTCTTTATCTAAATAGGGTTTTCCAGCTTTCCATAAAAGTCTTCCTGGGATATATCCCCCTGGAAGATTGTTCACGTGTTACATTGTAGTAACTAAATGAACCAAATCAATTCTAACCAACAATTATTTATTGTGACATTGTCGCAATGCCAGGCTGCAACTTTACATCACAATGTTCTCAATTCCTTTAGTGGTGGTCTTGCCCTTGTACATCATACTTTTCTTGTTAGCAATAGAGTTGTATCGATCATCTACCTAACTTCGTTCAGGGGAAATTTTTGAATCGAAGTAACTTGACTTCCATTCCAAACCTGAAGTTTGCATATAGTTACTCTGGATCTCCTGTCCCTAAGCTTTCTGTATCTGGTCTCAACTTTCATCTATCTAACCCCTTTTTTGAGATTAAGAAAAAGACACAGACATGGGATGACAATCAGAATTTATAGGTCTACAATTTTTTCAAATTGCAGCCCAATAAGTCTTCTTCTTCTTTACACATGTTTATATGGGGTTGGCATTTCCTTCTATAATACATTTTTTCCATTTCTCCCTATCAAGGGCTTCTTCTCTCTTAAGTTTCCTCTGGTTCAAGTCTTCTTCCACCTTATCTTTCCAATGCATCTTTGGTCTTCTTTTCCTCTTTCCTTTTACTACCAGTTTTCTGATCTTTCCAACAT